CTCCCATGGAATATGGGATGAAATGAGAGGGGCCCCAGCAAGCATGATGTAAGGGGTCCCCCAATTTTCTTTTAAGTGGCCAAGCTTGGAGCTGACTCTGGACACTGGCTGGTAGATGCGCATAGGACCTCTGTTCAGGGTGGCTTTACACAAATCTGCTCCAACAGAGCTAATGCAGGGCTCTCAAACTACTCCCAAAGTACTAATTTAAGAATTAAAAGGGACCGTGGAAGTTCTCATCTCTTTAGGCAATCCACAAGACTTTTGGCTATAACATTGCACAGTGTATCTGAAGGCTTTCTTTAACCTGTGCTTGTTTTCCATACCCATCAACTGCTTTTGAAAGTGTTTTTTGGCAAGTGGTTTGTTGTCACTAGCAGTCAAACCAATTTAAGAAGAGGCTGATTTTGACTAGTGTGTTAACACTATTTTCAAACATGGTTCCTTCTATATTGAGCCTGGGACCCAAAAATTGCTATCTTGCATGTTCAGCATCTTTTGTGAAATGAATGAGTCCAAGTGCTGGTGTGACCAATGTCCCTAGTATCAGCACAACAATGTACAAAAATATCAACACATTTGGTGCTGACTGTCAGTTTAGTTGGCTATCTCAGCAGAAAGACCAAGATTGCTGCTTCTACTGAATCAATTGTACAGAGAAATAGAGGAATTTTCTCCAGAATATCAAGTCAGCACCATATAAGATAGGCTTAAAATTAATCTTGCTTTAAAACAATTGAAAAATTGCCATGCTGGAATATTTATTAGTCTCCATAAGAACGGCAGCACACCTAGGCTGCATCTAGATTGGCATGATTTTCTGGAAATGCTTTTAACGGAAAAGTTTTGCGTTAAAATCATTTTAGGAAAAGAGCGTCTAGATTGGCACGGATGCTTTTCCGCAAAAGCACTTTTTGCAGAAAAGCGTCCGTGCCAATCTAGACACGCTTTTCCGCAAAAAAAGCTCCGATCGCCATTTTCGCAATCGGGGCTTTTTTGCGGAAAACAAATCTGAGCTGTCTACACTGGCCCTTTTGCACAAAATTTTTGCGCAGAAGGACTTTTGCCCGAACGGGAGCAGCATAGTATTTCCGCAAGAAGCACTGATTTCTTACAGTAGGAAGTCAGTGCTTTTGCGGAAATTCAAGCGGCCATTGTAGACAGCTGGCAAGTTTTTCAGGAAAAACGGCGGATTTTCCAGGAAAAACTGGCCAGTCTAGACACAGCCCTAGTGTTCGATTTGCTTGACTGCATGCATGGGTCTTCTGTTCCTCACTTTTCTATTTTAATCATACCCATTATTCAGAAGAACTGATCTTAAAATGTACTTCAAGAATCCACATGAATCCTTGAGGAGATGTATGGTGCATCCATGTTTCTAATAGGGATGAAAGCGACTAGTCAACTAGTCTCTTCTCCCCCCACCCCCACCACTCCTTGCTGCCTTTATCAGAGCTGGGCTGGTCGCTAACCCCACTGTGGCTCCTCTACTTATCGACTAGTTGATGGAAAATCCATTGACTAGACAATTAGATGATTAAACTAAATCTAACATCCCTAGTTTCTAAGGCAATAAAATGTAATATACATACATGTAAACTGAAACAAAGCTGATAAAATTCTATTTGAGGCTTCCCTACTAAGCCAATGTATGTCAACCTGACTTGGAAAGCCTCAGAAGTGAAAGGGTAATTCAGTTTCTTTGGTCTCTTCAGTTCTTAGTTTCATTGACAAAACTGCTAACAGCTGTGGTAATTGTGATAGTAGTGTTTATTAGGTGAACACTTTGGATAGTTCTATGAAAACGTCCATGCAGTGTGCAGCGGCAGTTGAAAAGGAAATAGGATGCTAGGAATTATTTAAAAAAGGGATCGAAAATAAGATGAAAAATATCTTACTGCCCCTATATAAAACTATATTACGCCCACATCTTGAATATTGCGTACAGATGTGGTCTCTTCACCTCAAAAAAGATATTTTGGCATTAGAAAAGGTTTAGAAAAGAGCAACTAAAATTATTAGGGGTATGAAACAGGTACCATATGAGGAGAGGCTAAAGAGACTGGGACTTTTCAGTTTAGAAAAGAGAAAACTGAGGGGGGATATGATACAGGTATATAAAATCATGAGTGGTGTGGAGAGGGTTATTTACTTTCCCCATAATATAAGAACTAGAGGACACCAAATGAAATTAATGGGTAGCAGGTTTCAGATTAATAAAAGAAAGTTCTTCTTCACATAGTGCACAGTCAACCTGTAGAACTCCTTGCCAGAGGAGTCTGTGAAGGCTAGGACTATAACAAAGTTTAAAAAAGAGCTAGATAAATTAATGGAGGTTAGGTCCATAAAAGGCTATTAGCCAGGGGTAAGGAATGGTGCCCCTGACCTCTGTTTCTCAGAGGCTGGAGAGAGATGGCAGGAGACAAATTGTTTGATCATTGTCTTCGGTCCACCCCCTCTGGGGCACCTGGCATTGGCCACTGTCGGCAGACAGGATACTGGGCTAGATGGCCCTTTGGGCTGACCCAGTATGGCCATTCTTATGTTCTTATCTGGGGTAGTCCCCAGCTGACATATATCCATGAACCACTCAACAGCCATCAGAAGGTAACAGTACGGTGTCATCAGCCCGTAGGCTGTACAAGCAACTTAAATGTAAAAGGCTCAATCTGTAGCTGCTTTGAGTGATTTCTCATGTCCATTCCACTTAGCTGTGTGTACACCGCATGCATGATTGTCTGAAGACTTTCCCTTAGTGGTACCTGTTGGGCTGGCAGGAGAGTCCCTTAGAGTGGTGCCTCTGTGGCAGCACATATAGACCCTTGCCAACCTTCCTCACCTTTAGTTCCTTCTTACAGCCTGTGACGGTTGGAGTGTCTTGGTCCTTGCATTCTGAAGGCACCTTTTCTAGAGGTCTTTGAGTGTATCTATAGTTCTTGGTGACAAGTATCAGAGGAATAGAAGTGTTAGCCTGAATCTGCATAAACAATGAGAAGTCCTGTGGCACCTTATGGACTAACAGATTTATTGGCGCATAAGCTTTCTTGGGCAGAGACATGCATCTGACGAAGTGGGTCTTTGCCCACGAAAGCATATGCTCCAATAAATCTGTTAGTCTATAAGGTGTCACAGGACTCCTCGTTGTTTATATAGTTCTTGTAACTTCTTACCTAATTAGTCTGTGGGGATCATCCCCACTCCTCCTTTCTCTGGAGCAGGGCATATCTTGGTCCCAGGGCTTTAAGCCTGGTAATAAGTGCTCAAAGCCTATGCCATGTAGTTGTCCCTCATGCCTTCTTAAAGTGCTTGGGAGAAAGTCACCAATCTGAAGTGTAAGATCTGTAGTGGCTTTACGCCTTGTACTAAGATTATGAGGAACACTCATTTAAGGCTCCTTCTCATGAAAGCAGCACTTTGCCCGCAAACAGCACCTCTGTGCACAATGCACTAGCCTCAGTCTGGGACCCCTCAACACCACAGAGGGACCATGTTAGAGAGCATTGGCCTTCCCAGACACTGAGACCCAGTGCTAGGATGTGGCACGGATCCCAGTCTCTAGTTCCTTACAAGAAGAGGAGGGCAGAGAGGGGCTGCTCTTCATCTCGGCATGCTGAGGGAATGTGTCTACAGTCGGGATACTCTTAAGTCTGCTGTACCGTGGCACTCCTGTTTACTCTGGCTGCCCATTGAGTCTGGTATGGATGGACTCCATGTCCTCTGGCTCTGGGGTGGCAGAGCTGGTCCCTTTTGAAGTGGCCACGGATCAGATAGAGCTGACTGAGTTCCCAGACCCTGCCCCTCAAAGCTCCGGTACAGCACTCAGACATAAGCCACAGCACTGTCTGCAGGGGCAATGCTGGCTCCATTTACAGCTCCTGGGGAGAGAGACCCATGTAACTTCAGTAGCATTGACTTCATGCCAGCACCGAAGCCTCCCATAGCTTGGCATAGGGGCAAGCTGATCATGCCGAGTCAGCAATTCTTACAACATTGCTCCCTGTCATCGTTGACCATGGTGCCACCCTGGTCTTCTTCAGAGTACTCTAGAGTCTTACATCTACAGTGCATCACTCAAGGTCCTTGCAGCAGTCACAGCACTGCACCATGGCCAACTCAATGGCAGGGCAAAAGGGATAGAACATAGATACTTTGTGCCACACTGGGGGCAGGAACACCTCTTTACTCAACACTGCCAGGGACTGTGGTGGTGGAAGCAGCCAACCGCAGGGAAATCAAGGACAATTGGAACCCACTCCAAAAGCCAGGGAGCCAAAAAAGCTAGACCTTTTTGGCTGCAAGGTCTATGCAGTAGGGGGTCTCCAACTTTGCATCACTAACCAAGAGGTGGTGCTCATAATTCATGATCATCCCTGGACAAGTTTATGGAGTTGCTCCCTTCGGACTTTTGGCAAGAATTTGCAGCCATTGCAGATAAGGGGAAAAGTGGTTGCCCGCGCTTCCTTCCAAGTGGCTTTAGATTCAGTGGATTTTGCTACCCACATGATGGCCACCACCATAAGATCCTTGTTGCAGGTGTCAGGCCTCCCACCAAAGGTCCAGAACACTCTACAGGGCCTTCCTTTCAATGGGGCTGGCCTTTTTCTGTACAGACCGAATCCAGGTTACATGCCTGAAGGATTCCAGGGTGACCCTCAAATCCTTAGGCATTCATATCCCTGGCCTGCAGAGGAAACCATTCACGCCACCTCCCCATGCAGAAGGATGGGCTCTAGATCCTTCTTAGGCCAAGGGACCAGGTCCTCCATAAGGACCAGTCCCAAATTGGGGTTTTGAAAGTGCACCCAAGACACAATTCCAGTCCGTTCCCTGGTTCAGCTTCCCTTTGTGAACCGCTTATCCCGTTCCTCCTGTGCCTGGGCCCAAATTATGTCAGACCACTGGGTTCTAGGCATA